TTTAATTATATAAATTTTTCTTTTTAAAAGAATAAAATCTAAAAACTAAATGAAAAAAGAAAAAATATTAATTTGAAAAAATTTATAAAGTTCTAAAAATGAAATGATAATAAAAAATAAACAATAAATTCTTGAAACTAAAATGAAAATCAAATTTAATAGATGAAAAAAATATATAAATTTAATGAAATTGAAAAAACTTAATTTATTTTAAATGTAATGTATTCTAAAAATTAAAATTTCAAAAATTTATCAACAAAAAATAAATAAAACATGTTTCTAAAAGATAAATGAAACTTAAAAAATATAATATAATAAATTCTTGTTGTTATATCCGACAGGGTTTGTATACGATGTATTTTGGAATGAGTTTCCGTCATCCCTTTTGAAATGAAAATGACACTGAAGATAGCACATTGCCGAAACCGGTTTGTCTCCAAACCAAATTTTGACAAGGGAAAGTCGTTCCAAAATACGTCGTAATTTTTTAAAACTTGAATGAAAGAAAAAAATATTTCTATACGTATAATTTTTTTCTTTTTAAAACGGTAAAATCTACAAATTAGAAGAAAACTAATTAAAAAAAAGAAAAGTTAATAAATTTAAAAAAATCAACTGCCCAAGGACTCGCACTTGGGATCTCTCGTCGAATGGCCCTACCTACGCAAAATGATATGCAAGTGCTCTCTGTCAAAAGAGCTTTTGTCCATGGAAGTTTTCAAGAAAGTTTTTTTTTTTGTAAGACTTCTGTGTCAGAATAAACAAAATCTTTCAAACTCTCTTTCATACTGTTCGTCTTTAAATTTTCTATAAAAAGACTTGCAACTATCTTAGTCAGAATTTCCCTGTTACCCTTTCTTTAAGTTTTTATCTTTTCTTTGTGAATTTTAGAGCAGCCTTCTGATCCTACCGAGGAATTTACACCGTGCACAAATTCACAATTAATCTTAATTAGTAGAAGGGTGGGTAAAATAGCGAACGATTTGGAAATGCATCAACCAAGTCTATATGCGTAAGCATGTTTTTATATAGAAAAGGTCGCTAAGGTAGAATTTGATATCGCTACTCTTGAAAAAAATATTACAGTATTAAGTTTTGGAAGCTGGCGGATTTTCTGCGGTAAGCTTTGAGCTTTGCTGAGTGCGCGCAAACGAGTTATTTTATCTATTCTGAAAGCTTGCTTCAAAGGCTTTGCATCGTGAAAATGCGGAAAATTTCCAGCTTCTTCTTGAGTCGGTTATGACCAGACTTACCTAAGTTTACATTCTAGGCTACTTCCTCTGTTTTCTATTAATGGTTATTTATTTTGAATATTCAGAGATAGGAAGTATCTCTACTTATTCGTTGATCATGCAAACTGTCTATCCTAATTTTTTTAACCACCACTGTATACAAATCCGATTGCCATTTACAGCCTAGTGTTGCGATTATTATTATAAGAAATCTTTAACCAGGGCGTAGTGTGGCTTAGACCGCACAAGTCAACGAGTGAATGAATGAGTGAGTGGTGGCGTCACTTTACCTCTTGGATTAGGCAACACCGGCAATGGGCAACAAATATATGTACATAGTTATATACGGGTATATTCAATGTAGATTTGGCCGTCGTGGTCGTCGCCGGGTCTTTGTTGTTGCAGTCGCTGTCTCTCTGTCGCCACCGATTTGCCGATTTTGTCTATTTCAATTCCTTAATAGGAAGTTTCATGGCATTCATGTTTGGCTTACACGAGCAATGGATTCTCACGACGACTACGTAATGTCCCAATTGCAATGGCAACAACAACAACAACAACAATGCCGAAAATCGCGTATATATTAAAAACAATTAATTCGATAAAATAAATAAACATTTTAAATTCACTAATGCCGTTGTAAGCACCAAAGCTAACAGCAACAACAAAAAAAATGTTTAAGTTGCAATCGCATTTACATTGAATTTTTCCTTATTTAAAGTTGGTTGTAGGTGAACGAACACCAACCACATGGACAGACATTCACTTCAAATTGCTTGCTAATTCAGATTTCCTTTTGTCGAAGACGTTGTTGACAACAGTATCCTTGACTTAGTTTTGTGCGCATGCGCATTAAAGATTTGTATTTTAGTGTGTGTACAGTGGATGCCAATTTTATTAGGCAGAAATGTATGCTGCAGTTATGGTAGCAAACACTTTTTGCAGCGAGTGAAGTGTGTATTTACTAAGACTTTTTGGGAAACGTTACAAAACTATTATTTTTTTATTTGCGGTGCAGCTTCCTTGCGTTTTTTGGATTAGACGACTTTTTTTAAATAAAAGATTCTATTCAACACAACGCAACTTTTAAGTCTTCGAACATCCATATTTGCTGAATGGCCTTGCGGTGGCCTATAATAGTGTCCAAATATTACTTTTGAAAACATGTAAGCCATAACAAAATTCCGGATTTTTCATTTAGAATACTTATTTTAAGTTTTACCCCATTAAGGTTGTCCTCCAAAGCATCACCAATTATGTTCTTTTTCCTCCTTGCTGATCTCATCCTTAATAGTATATGGGCCTAATACAAGCAATGGCTTAAACCTAGCCCATAGCTAAGGGGAGTTAAAGTGGAGAATAAAGACAACAAAGAACACCAAATCTACATTCAGCTATCTTTAAAAAAAAAAAATAAATTCACATGCTTTTGAGTAATTTGTGAAACAACGAGCCGCCTACGAAATCCCTGAAACACAGCGGAGAAATATTTTTGTCGTCAAAATTTTGGCTTCAGTAGACATATCTATATGTATGTATTATCAATAAACCACCTTTTCTTTGTAGAAAAATTCTCCTCTATAATATTTTCCTTTTTTGCTTGTAATACAGTACTCAAAACTGTATAGCCTTAGCTCTATACAATGATATAATTAGAAGAGGTAGCCCTCATAGCTTTCCGGACAAATGATTTCTTCGTGTCAAAAATGTCCAAGGATATCTTGGAGATGAAAAAGAAACAAAGCAACGGTTTAAATGAAAAAATAAATATTTAGCGTTTACATATTTGCTAGTACTTCGCCGAGCTTCTTCTCCGATATTTGTGTTGTCCACCTTGATATTGTCACACAAAGTAGAGGGACCTGACTGCTATGTTGCCATATCTGAGAGCCCACCAAATAGTGACGATGTGATGGCCTAGTGATATCCTTTTGCTGCTACGGCCTTAGGGGACCGCAACAGATTAGGTCGGCTTGCATGGGCTCCTACTGGACAGTGGCCGATAAGGACTGCTTTCAAAACCAAAATTTTACTCTGAGACAGCTTAAGACGCCCTATTGACCAACGCTCAAAAGCACTTTGCAATTCGGGTGTTTTCGCACTGCACTAGGAGAGCCAACTAACAGCCACCTGTACAGAAAGAGTTCGCAGGTTATGAAGGGAATTCGAATGTACCATGTTTGGGCTATTCATCAAACATGCAGTTTCCTGCAATATCTCTGTACCCTGGAACCGAAATTAGCCTTATTCTTAAGTAACTGGGGGCGACCTAGACCCCTGATTGTCACTTGGCTGCCAGAGAAGATAATCGTTCTTCATGGTGTATCAGTCTGCCGTTCTTGATTCCTGGGCAGTCACATAGAATATGCTGTGGAGTTTCGTCCACCAACCCACAAAATATGCGGCGCGTGTCTGCAGAAGGCAAAATTTATTCAAATGGTACCCCAACCAGTCAGGTTCAAGGAATATTTTGGAGTTCCACCTGGAAGAAGTTATAAATTTGTTGTGAGATTCTTCCCAGCTCCTAATGTAGCTCCGATCTTTTAGATGTACCGTGAAAAGGCTCGAAACCAGGCAAGCGCATTTGGGCTTCTCGTTTTGCGATGCAGTCAGTGCTTTCGTTGTCTTCAAATCCTAGGTAGTTTTACCACTTTCCACAAACATTGATGCCATTTTAACTGAGTATATGGCCTCCTACCAAGTCCTGCCGTCCTGCTACCAAGTCATTCTCAAAGACGCGCTTCGATTGCGAAGACTATGCTGATATTATATGAAGGTATATAGGGTACGAAAAAATGGATTTGTAATCCGTTTAGACTGGTGGATCAAATTTTTTTTAATATTTTTGTATTTCCAAAACCTTTCAGAGAGGACAACCTGAGGTATATGTATACAAGAGCGATTAGGTCCTCTTATTCATACTTTTAGCTCCATGGTGTTTTGAGGAAAAATTTCATATATTTACATTCAAAAATATTCGCTAGATAGTAGCTGGCTATGCCATAGATTACACCACGTTTAAGTTAATCAATATGAGAGGCTCCCTTGCAGACGGTCATTTTGGTATGGCCTCATCAGGATCTAAGGGTTGCTATATTTACAAGACCATACACCATAGTTATTATTAGTACGTCGGGTATACTCGCGCTGCGACCTAAAAGATCTTTTGTGCTAAACCCTAATTGTAGTCACTCCAACCTTAGGCTATTCAAGAAATTAAGCACATTGGAGGGTGCCGTGTTCCAAATCTTGGATGGAGAAGACAATCGTTCCCCAAGGTGCATCAGTCTGCTATTCATGATACGCGGGCAGTCACACAGAATGTGCTCTGAGGTTTCCTCCGCCAGCCCACAGAACCTGCAGTCCATCTCTACCTCTACAGAAAGCCCCATTACGCCAGTGGGCAGCAATCTGAGATTCCTCCCAACTCCTAAGCAGTTCTGCAGTGTATCCTCTAGATGTACCACAGAAAGGCTCGGGACCATGCATTCGCATTTGGGCTCCACGTTTTGCGAGAAAGTCAGCCACACCACGTAGTCCTTTTAGACCTTCTGAGCTCGCAGTTGTCAGCAGTTAGGGCTGATTTGTAGGCGGTCCAGTCACCTGTTGACTTTGCCCTATTGAAAAGTTTCCTGGCTGCTTTCCTAAGTTTCCCGAGAGCATCGTTCCACCAAGGGACATCCCTTTGCGACGGATGAAATTGGCGCCGTAGACCTATTCATTTCCCGCTCTATGTGGAGGCGAAAGAGTTTCCAGTTTGTTTTTGTGGGATTTCTGTAAACATGGTTTGTTACCATTTGGGCTTCTATATCGAATCGGACATGCCGGTGGTCCGACTTAGATACCTCATTTGAGACATGCCAGTTTGAGATAAAGGTCGAGTACACCGTAACTACTTTCTTTATGGTCCCAAATGACGTGCAAAATGTGAATCAACCAATTATCGTCAGAAATTTATTTCATAGTTCAAATGGAAATCTATATTTGATTTCTCATTTATCATATCAGAAATAATAGCCATTTAAAATTTAGCACATGCTTACTTTTGTCTAAAAAATTTATCCAAAATACATCTTTCATTCTGACTAATTTCAGCTCTCCTCAATAAATCCTAATTGTGCCGCAGAATGCAAGATTACGGCACACTATTAGCCAGCAGCCAGCGGGGTGCAGAAGAGTCTAAAACCAGTAAAGTCAGTAGCCGCAAAGAGAAATATTCGCTGCGTGAACGCCAAAAGCGTCGACTTGGATTAGCCAGTGTGGTCGAGTTGCCGAAACGTTCAAACCACAAGGGTAAGCTCGCACATAAGCGTGCATACAATCTTCAACTAATGCAGCTATTTGGTAGTGTCGGTACTAAAGTATCAACTAATTATTTCTTACAGATGACAGCGAAGCGACCACAGGACCGCAGCGCACACAAAACACTACAACGTCCAAGTCGAAAGCGCCGCCACTTAGTAAATATCGTCGAAAAACCGCCAATGCGCGCGAACGTACGCGCATGCGTGAAATCAATTCAGCGTTTGAGAATTTGCGGCATTGTGTGCCGCAAAGCATCGCAGTCGATGAGGCGGGACCCACAAATGAGAAGCTGACGAAAATAACGACGTTGCGTTTGGCCATGAAATATATCAGTTTGCTAACGGAGGTGCTGAATAATCCCAACTTTAAAGGTGAATTGCCACTAGACTTCCTATATGGTAATGAAGAGCCAGTGATAAAGCAGAAAGTCGCCTCCAAGCCTTTGAAAACACAGTCGAAATCTACAACCGCAGCGTCGAAAAATAACAAGCCTTCAAATAAGGCGTCAACAGGACGTACAACGGCTAGCGCTGTGTTGCAAAAACCGCCCAAACGTTTGGGTAAACGTAAAAAGAAGGAATTAAAGTCACCGCTGATAACGCAGCGTAATAGCTGTAACACCACGCCAGAATCAAGCCGTGCCACGTCAAGTACAGCCACTTCTGCTTCTTCTTTTGTTACCTGCAGTGGAGATTCACTCTCATCACACTCTTCTAGCTTCCTCGATAGTATAACCAGTCCAAGTTACTCCAATGGCTTTGTGCCATCCATGTCCGAGCTGAATAGCCTAATACTAGAATCTGATGGCGAATCGCTGCATCTTTCCGATCCCTGTCACAGTCCATTGCAAGACAAATTCGATAGGCTCTTTGGCAGCGCTAATGTTTTGGAGGGCAAGTCGGCTGTGGACCATAATATTTTAGGTGATATCGATGCGCCTTTGGAGCTGAGCTTACAGTTTCTTGGCACAGCGCCAGAGTCGTTGGACTTTTCAATGGAACAACCGCCAACGACATGCATTAGTCCCTTAGTGGCATTGGATACATTCAATCCGTTTAGTGATTTTCTGCATCCAGATTATCCAGAACAAGCATCACTGGATTTATTTCTGACATAACCCGAGGTGTCTTATTTAGCAGCCTCTGCCATCGCAATACCTATACATTATCTAACTTAGTTTGAATTATTTCACTTGATCGACGAAGCTTTAAATCAATAAAGCTTGTCCCTCAACCATTTCACGTGGCCATCACTAGTATTTCATGTTATTTCTTATAGATTATAATTTAATATTTGTTTTTTACTGAACTTAATGAAATATTGATGCATTTAACTCAACTGAACTGAAGATGTATGAGCAAGTAAAAATTTACTTACATAAATACTCTAACAACAATATGATCTGTATTGAATTATCCTTTCATGTCCCTTTTAAGCGGAGTTGACTGTGTTTTGTTTAACTATTTTTCATTTTTTATGTAATTTATTAAGAGACTTAGCTAACACATTGAGATTGTTTGTTTTTAATTGATAATGAGGAAAATATTTGTATGCTAAAATTTATCTACTGAAATATTTATTTCTTATTAACAGATTATTCTTTATAATTGTTGAATTTTTTTTATAATAATGTATACGCAAATTATTTAAGCTGGCATAAATAGTAACAAATGTTTTAACACAACTACTAAAAATTGAATAAAAAGTCAATAAAAACGATAAAAAAAGACAGCAGTAAGTTTATAATGTTCGGTTTTTAAATTATTTTAAACATAATTTGTTCGTAACACTAGTCCCAAAGGCAAGATATTTGGACAAAATGAGAAGAGTAAGTACTGGGCATTTTGGCAACTGTATTTAAAATTAAAAAAATAAAATTTAAACAAAAATTAATAGAAAACATTTTTAAAAGTTTAATTACCAAAAGAAAAAATGTAATCAAAAAAGAATAAAATAAAAAAAATAAAAAAAAACAAAACTTATTTAAAAAAAAAGTCTTATATTAAAAGAAAATTAAAATAAAAAAGACAAATTAATAAAATAAGATCCTAAAAATTAATTGATATAAAAAATGTTTTTTTTTGTTTAACATAAAACTCAAAATCTACCATTTACAAATTTTTGGTGTTTTTCCACAATAATTTTCAATTAAAAACGGCCTCAAGCTCAATAAAAATTGTTTAATATAAAATTAAAATAAAATGAAATTAACGACGGAAAACCAAATTAAATTAAGAAAAGAAAACAAATAAAATAAGTTTCTAAAAATCAAATTAAATAAAGTAATATTTTTGTATCAATAAAATCTAAAAATGCAGAGAACATTAAATTAAAAACGAAAAAAATTAATATTTTATTAAAGAAAACCAAAAATAATTTCCCAAAATATAAATG